AGGCTTGCCACATTACTCCACCAGTCTATCGCCTCATGTGAATGTAACAGGACTATGGCATTTTACATTCAGCATTAAAAAATAACACCTTCCTCTGTCAGAAAGGCACAAGTTGCACCACAGCGGAAGCTAAAATAATGGTCCTCCACGTACTCTCTGGAAAACCTGCCAAAATTATGGGCATCCAAGAAAGAGAGGTTTGGGGGAAAGATAAATGAGGATTATTTGTTTAACAAAATGAAAAGCCCAGATAAAAGGATCTTGACTCTTCAACATCACATCTAAACACCCATTTAAATCAAATTTCATTGATAAGGAACAAAATAAATATACAATTGTCTCTCTCAGCAAAAGAGCAGAACATGGAGGCCATTATGGAAGGAAAAATTTGATTATTTAACTGAATAATATGCAACAGCTTACATTGCCGCCTTTGTGAGGTAATCGTTTCTACCTTTTTTCTTTTTTCCTTTTTTTTTTTTTTTGAAAAAACTACTTTGGTAAGAGAATGATCTGTGCTGAACCTAGAATCTTTTCACAAGAACTGGGGCTCCATTGTTCTCTCCGGATTCAAGCACTCTAGAACAGCAACATCTCTGGCACCTTCCACAAAAGAGCTGCGAGGCCCAGCTTCATATCAACTCTCCTTCTGCAGTAATTAGACAAATGATTCAAGAAAGAAGAGATCGTATAAAGAAATGCAAGAGCAGGCATTAAACTGCTGTCAAGCTTGATTAACTCAGTTACTCTCCTTTAATGGCAAGAAGTCGTTATCTCTGGGAAAAGAAGAGCTTGACAAGAGTAATACATAAATCAAACAAAATAGTTGATTTTGGAGAATGACAGAAGACCATTTATGATCTTGTGAGCAAAATATTGACTCATAACAGAATATAAATCCCAATACCACAAATTCCGAAGGTAACGCAGATATTACCATGCATCAAGTGGCATGTTATATTCTATTGTAAACCTACATGAAATCGGGGTCTTCTATTACCTTAAGTAGCCTTTGATATATCATGTATAACACATTTTAGTTCTTCATGCACCCCATTGAAGGTAAGAGTGAGGATTCACATTGCCCATCAGCACCATAGAATAAAGCCTGATACAGCATTCTATGAAATAAAAGCTGAAAAGAAGGATGTTTCTCTTATGATGTTACTCTAGAAATAACTTTGGTTTTCAATTTTACCATGTAGCTGCCTCCCACCTTGCTGTTGATGCTCAACTTGTATCATTCCCTCCAAGCCAAACCACTCTTCAAAATAACTGAAACTACTAAAAACTTTAAGTAGAACATAATATATGAACAAGCAAATGGTCTAAAGAAAACTGACTTCATCACATGCTTTGGGTGATATAGACAATACAACCATCATGCGGACTCCAGAGCAACTATTCTCCAATTTACTGAGCCAAGGAACTTTAACCACATGAGAGGTTATAGCTCACGTCCTACAAGCGTTTCACAAGAAAAGTAAATCTTATTCATAATCTAACAATGGTAAATTAGTTGGTCCAAGAGGAACTCGTACCATTAAGATAATGTATTCAAGAAAGTTTCACACTTAATTACTTTTAGCATCAGCATATTGATCTTAAGTCCAGATTTACATCGATCACACATGTTATTTTTTTCCTCTAACTGCTAATTAAAATACACAGGAAAGTTTAATCCAGATACTTAGACAGATATATTATCCTCGTATATCTTTCACAGACTCAAAAATGGAAACTTGAGTTGATAAATCATCCTATTAAATAACACAAACAAGCTTATCACCATTAGGTATTGGAATTGACAAATTTCCATCCTTATCCCTGCAATCTAATGAACTTCCATATCTAAAAAGAAACCTTCCTGCGAAAAACAAAGAAGTGTAACCCTGAGAATCATGGAAAGCGTATTATTGAGGATTGAGGAGCAGTTAAAGTGACTAATCTGATCAGAAAAAATCAAATTCATAAGTCTCTCCCTTCCCAACAGAAGTTTATTTTTAACATATGCTCATGCCATGGTAAAAGAAATTTGTATTTTCAAATCACAGCACGAAAGACATACATTAAAACTTTGCCTCCAAGGGCTTGAGAAGTAAGGGTTCGAACTGTCAGTCGATCCTTCACTAACTTCGACATTCATCATATCCCCAATATCTGCCATTAATCTTGCATGATGACATGACTCATTGAAATCAGGCATTCAAAAAAAAAAGTACACAAAAAGGGGATTTTCAATACATTGAACTTGAAAGGAGTACAAAAAAAAGCAATAGCATTTAATTCATAGGATGTAAAGGTTTAATTAGCTTCATATGCCACAGTAATCTATTCATCATCTAATCTCTTAAAATCAAATAAAAAATCCTAGCCTTACTCTAAAGGGACAAAAGTAGGAACTTGCTCATTAACAGCATTAAAGCATAACCAACCTTGGAGGTCTGCTTTAAAAAACTTCAATGCCTTCTTAACCTGCATGGTTGTTTCATAGGTGATGAAAACATTACATAACATGCTAATGGGCAGCAAGTTGGAGATGCTAGCTTACATCTTGAGTCGGGTGCGGGGGAATTTGAGAAAAGGGAGGGCTGCCACTATTCTATACCCTATCATTATTTGTAAAATAATAATAATAATAATAACAATAATAATAACAATAACAACATGCTCATGGGTATGCTCTTGGATGATAAATTTGGGCAATTGTTAGAGAAAGTAGCAATCTTTAGTGTAAGTCGGCCATCTAATAAGTATTTTGTTGAAAATATTTCATAAGAGTCGAATTGATAATGGTTTCTTCACTGCTAATTTCGCGAGTCTTTTTAAGGTTCTAAATTTAGCAATACAATAAGAAATCAGAGAATGTTGAAACTAAAATTAGGTGAAAAACCTGATCTTGACTACGCAAAAACTACAGCAACAACGAGAACGGAATCATCACCGTTGATGACCTGCATTCCACCGCAGGGAAATGATTCTTCACTAGGGCGACAGCTCCTCTCGCCGATTCCTGAATTCAGTTTTCTTCTCCAATCTTTAAAACAACAAAATTACGGCTCCGAGAACCTCCATTTGTGGAAAGAGTCGAAAGACCATTGCTGAAACTTTTGAAAGGAAAATGTTTTTAACAGGGAATCACAACAGAATGGGGGCTACATCCATTTTTTTTTATTTTTAAGTCTGAAATTATAAAAAATAAAAATAATATAATTACAGTTTTAAACAACATTAAACTTATAACATAATATGTTATTATATAATTAATTTTTTTAATTTATTTATGATATTATATGTATTCAACTATTTAATGTCATGTTATGATGGTGAGTTTATAATTATTATAACTATAGCATTGCTAAAACACATTATAAAATTTTGAAATGAGTCCTACATCCATAACTAGTATTGAAATTAATCTTTTTGATGAAAAATGGAAATTTTCATTAAGAAGTAAAAAGATATTACATCAGAATCTTTAAATATCATGACATTATAGCTAGAATTGAGTTATAATCTACAATACTAATTACAAATTTAAATTATGCCATGATAAATCTAAATAATTAAATATAAAGAACCTACGACTAGAGATTAAAATCAATTGCTATATGGGCTATGGGCCAAAAATAGAGTTACCTAAGTAAGAGGATTATCTTATTGAGTGGTCAAAGCTTCTAGAAAATCCCATAAAATTGTTAGTGGGAAAGCAAGTAACCTAATATGTGACAGTCTCCATCCACCAACTGTTGGTCTTTTCCTAAACTAAACAAACCTTAATCTCTCATCCACTAGTAGCTTATGATACCACCCACAATCTCTACCTTTGATTCACCAATCACCTTCTGATTCAATTTCTTTGTCACCATTGACTACCATACCTCAGTTGTCTCATAAGATTTGATAAGGAGGGACTGGACATACTCAAGAGAAAATTGCCTTACACAATGGTAGATTCACCTTAAGTGAAAATAGTGGAAAGGGAATAAAGGGATGAAGGAGAAAATATGGGGAGAAATATGATCAAGGAAACAACAAAGGAAGAGAAGGGTAGGCACAAAAAAATTATTGAAGGGTAGGGGAAAAGAGGGGGAGAGGAGGGATCAACTCAAGGGAGGTATGAAGGAGGGAAGGAAGGGGGGAAATGACAGCTTATAGCTTTTGCCACCATTCCCCCTAGCTTTTGACATTAGGGTGTTTTCTGTTTTCTAAAGGGAGGGTTTCAGGAGGAGGGAGGCCTATCACTTAAAAGTTTAAACTATTGTATATAGACTATTGTAGCTGAGACAAAAAATAATTAATAGGTAACCATTCGTCAAGTTAGTATTGAAATTAATCTTGAACCTAAATTAATTAGGTAAAACTCTACATTTAATTCTTTACCTCAATATATTCTCTACTTTTAGGTTTCATCTCATATATTGAAACTTTTAATCTCTTAATTAATCAATTTAAAATAAATAATACAAAATTGACTTAAATTATCACATGCCTCACGAAGAGTTGAGGGGTTATTTATGGTAACTTGACATCAATTTTGAGTTTATTAATTTAAATTAAAGAGTTAAGGGGCTAAAAATTTTAATGTATAAGATAAGAGGTTAAAAACGACAACCTAATAAAATGAGAGGGCAAAGTTAGGCTTTTGCCAGTAATTATTCCTATGATAGTCCTGACGTTAAAAGTTGATGTCATTGCTGAAGCTTTGGAAAACAACTTTTGTTTTTTCTTTTTTTTAAGGGAAGAAAGGACAAAGCGTGGCCCATCTGTCTTTTTCAGTCTTTTTTTTCTTGAACATATTTTGCAAGGGTAGGTTTTGAATCTGCCGATAGAAGGGAATGCACCGTGACTATGTCACTTCAAAGGCCAGATGCATCTGTCTTTTCAGTTTGAAATTACGGAAAAATGTGCTTTGCATTTTATGTCCACAAAAACCGCCCATATGGTCCCTTGTCTGTACTCAGCATTGAAATTAATTTTAAGGTTTTCTTAACATGAATTCTTAGGTTATAGTGTGAGCATTTTTCATATATATATTTATATAAAAATCTGTAAAATTGACATTAATTTAAGTATTGTTATTATGTAGATTAATTTAATTAAATAGTTAATAAATTAATTTTTTAATTAATTAATTAATTAATTTAAATTTAATTTTTATTTTTAAACATAAATTTATAATAAAAAATATATTTATTACATTTTTAAAAATACAAATTAAAAAAATTTTAAGTTTAAATATAGAGTTGATATCGTCATTAATGACGTCATTACACGGACCACAACAGCTCATTTTTGAGAAAAGACATAAGAGCCAATAATATGGTTTGGGTTCTTTGGTAGAGTAGAAGGGCCACAATGAAACAAGCACAAGAATGAATAAAAATAGTATACACACTACAGTTTGGCCTTAACCCTTTTTTTTTACTCCTTTCAAGTGTGTTCATATCCATGGTTGTTGGAGAGGCGCAACACTCCATTGTCTTGTTTGTTTTCCATGTGTTTGTAGAAATGCCCATGTGAACGTGAGAGTTTTAAGGCATTTGAATTCTGTTTTCCCATTTCTGGCAAGCAAGGACGGTGATCCCGTGTAAGCCGTGTCTGGTTTTTAATGAATAGTATTTCTTTTGGGTTAAACGTGTAAATTACCCTCTAATAATTTTAAATTAAAACAAATTATTACTCAATTAAAAGAAATTAAACGAAATTGACATCTCAAAATTGACTGAAATTTAACAATAATATCAACTATTAAATTTATTAAATTTGAGTCAATTTTGTCAAAAAAAAATTTTAATGATAATTTCTTTTTAATTTTTTAATCTCAATTTATCTTTAACTCAAAAATATTGATAGGGATGTCGCAGCATCCATCTATTTCTTTGATGACCAAAAAAAAAACTTTTACTATTTTTATAGCAGGATTACCATTAATCAAAGGGCAGTGCTATAAAAATAATTTTTTAATATTATTAGTTTTATATAAATAAAAAAATTAATAATTTAAATGATACATTAAGTTATACAAAAAAATAACACAAAAAATTATCCCAAAATCATTTTCCTTAACCAAAAGAAGACAATACACCCTTTAGAAGCACACTGGATAAAAATCTAAAATTGAGGCATAATAACTTTGAATTTGCTATGTTTTGTTTTGGCCGTCTCCAAAGTCCTGTGATGAGACGATGTACATAGGTGTGGCTTAGAAGCTGTAACTGAACTAAACAACAAAGAAAGCGCTTTATTGAAAGTGCTTTATCCTACATAGGCATACCCACCCTTGACTTTGTAATCATGGACGGAGCCAATGTAGGACAAGGTGGGGCAGCCACCCCTAAGCTTTTGAAAATTTTTAAATATGGTATATTAATTTTATTTTTTACAAAATTTTTTCTTGAGTTTTTGAATTTTTGGAACCATTTTAAAGATAAAGAAAATATTTAAAGCTTAAGTAATGGAATCATTTCTCTCTTTATAATTAATTTTTAAGATATTTTTTTTAGAACAATTAATTTTTAAGATATTATAATTTGGTTTAGATAAAAAAATTATTTAAAAGTAATCAACATCTAGTTAATTACATTGATGTAATTTATAGATGTTGACTACTTTTAAATAAATTTTAAGTTTTTACACTAGTCAAATATAATTTTTTTTGTATAATTTATATTTTTTAAAAGTAATAGTTGAATTTATTTTATTCATAAAAATCATATATTTCAAATTTAAAGTTGTTTTGATATAGATAACTATTCAAAAAAATTATATTTTTATACTATTTATTTAAAGGTTTTAAAGTATATATCATTCAAAAATAATCAATATATCTAATTTACTTAATGAAGCTAAATATATCTAATTAATTTAAAGTTTTACATGCATACATTAAATGATATATACACAAAATTAGTAACTAATATAGAAACTAATATAAATTATATTAATATAAACTAATACATAATTCACAAAAAATTTTAACCTTTTATCCCCTAACTTAAATTTTTATCTCCGTCCTTGTTTGTAGTCATCACTTGTTTCCTCTTTTTTTGGGTTCCTTTGCTAAATTTTTATAAGTGGTTAACAGAATTCAAAGCACTCAAAATTAGAACCGCGCACAATTTTTCTAAAGGTTAAAATCATATTTTTGTTACTCTAGTTTAACAAATTTTTTTTTTTAAAATTAAACTATTTAAGAAAGTTCCTTTTAGTCTTGAAAATTTATTATCCAGTCATTTTTTAGTTTTTCTATTATCTTTTTGCATACATGATAAATTAGATGACAAAAATTTCAAAGTAAATGTATTAAAAAAAACTTTAAAAAGCCCTCTTTTATTCCTTTACTTTTTTTAAAAAAAACCTTTTTTAGTAAGGATTGACAAAAAAATCCACAACCAGAAAAAAAAAAAAATCCAAAAACTAACGAAATTGTAACCAACCAGTGGGGTTTGACTGGATTTTAGGTTTGCTTGATTAAAAATCAAATCGAACCAATTATAAATGGTTTGGATTTTGCTTACTAAGTTTAAAAATTAAAAAATCAATAATTAGGATGAGTATAACTAAAAAATCCAAATAAAAACCTTTTATATAAATTTTTAATAGTTTCGAGATTTTTAAAGATTTTTTAGTCACTTTTCACCAAATTACTTATTTATTTGGATAATTTTTAATTTTTTAATGATGAAATTAATAAAATAATAAATAAAAAAATTCAAAAAATACTAAAAAACATAAAAAAAGTAATTTTTAGTTAAAATCGAAACCAATCTAAATGGTTACTTTCAAAAGTGTAACTAAAATAAATAAAATACATATTTTTTGGTTTGGTTAATGGTTATTAAAATTAAAAACCCAAAACTTTGGTTAATTGGTAGTTCAGTTCTAGTTACAACCAAAGTCGAACCATGCCCACTCTACTTTTTTTGTCTCTTTATTTAAAAATTTTTGTTATCTAATTTACATATGTAAAAAGATAACAAAAGGATTAAAAAGGACTAAATAATAAACTTTAAGGATTAAAAAGAAAATTTATTAAGTAAAAGGACTAAAAGGTATATTTATTAAAATAGAAGGACCAAAATAAAAGTTTAACCTTTTCCAACAAACCTCGTCCTTTCCGACAAATCAATAAAACTAGAATTGTAAAAAGATGCATTCCCACGTGCCTTGATTTACTCGCCACTTGCTGTGTTAAAAGTTAGTTAGTGGTTTTCAGTTTTAAGTTTTGGGTTTAATATTTGTACTAATATTTTTAATATATTAATTTTTAATTATTATTTTTATTAATAAAAAAAATCGTAC